TGGGCTGTGATATGCCTTGTGGAGACAAATTAGGTGTTCTATTAGCTGAAGATGAGGGAGATGTATCATTTTCTATGATTGGTGGGGAAGGAGGATGTATTTGTGAAGTTTTTCTGGGTGAACCTTGCTGAGAAACATCAAATGTTGTTGTGGGAAATGAAATTGGGGATAGATATGCATCAGAAATGCAAGCTGGTAGTGTAAAATTTGTTATGGTTTCAGGTGTTTTGTGGTGATTTGTGGTGAAAAGGGAAATGGTTCAATAAAGATCACATCTCTGGAATTTGGAATAAAGTTTTGGTACTGAGATTGTACAATTTATACCCTTAAATGCTGTTGAGAATAACCCAAGGAACACACAAGGAGTGCTCGGGGCTCAACTTCAGTTTTGTGGCAGTGGTATTAGTGAGTAACATAAACATCCATTATCTGAAGTGAGGGAATGAATGCTGAGTTAAAGTGAGAATAATCTGGAGGTTTATTATATGATCTTTCATAAGGTGTTTGCCATTTGAGATTTTCAAAAGGAATTCTATTGGATATGTAGGTTGCAGATAACAAGGTTTCAGACCAGAATTGGGTTGGGAATTTGGCTTGGTGGAATATAGCTCTAGCAATATTTATTAAGGTTCTGTGTTTCCTTTCCACTACTCCATTCTGCTGAGGAGTATATACACAAGTTCTTTGATGAATAATGTCTTTTTCAAGGAAAAACTTCTGACATTCAGAATTTATGAATTCTAAGCCATTATCAGATCTAAAGATCTTGATATTTTGTTGGAATTGGGTAAGAATTAACTAGTAAAAGGATTTCAAGGCAGATGGTACTTGAATCTTGGTTGTTAGCATGTAAGTCCAGCAGTATCTGCAGTAATCATCCACCAAGGTCAACATATACACTGCATTTGTAACAGATTTAACACTGTGTGGTCCCCATAAATCTATATGTACAATCTCAAAAGGTTTTAAGGTAGAAATTTGACTAGTGAAAAAAGGTAATCTGGTTTGTTTAGTTATAGGGCAAACAGAACATGCCATATCCACAAAATCACAGTCATGTACATCATTCACATGTTTCAATCTCTTATTTGAGATATGACCTAATCTAGCATGCCACAACATTGCTAGATGTTTATTATGACTATTACATTGAGCTGTCATATTGTTTCCCTTATTTTGAACAAATACATTCACATGTGGTCAATGACTCGTTACTTTTGCAAGATACTGACCTAATCTAAGACATGCACCACAAACAGGGTTGCTAGAAGTTGTTTTTTATCTATTGAATATATACAAATTGAGGGCTGATCATATTGTTTCGCCAATTATTTTGAAAAGAATGAGTAACTTATATGTACAATTGTATGGTTAGAATCTTCATACTCTTTTCCCCAACTGCCGGGAAGTAATGGGTCCGTCAGTCGGTGTAAATCTCTTGGAATATAGAAGTATTGCGGATGAGAAATGAGTTGGGAATAAGCTTCAGACAAATGACATCGTTTTCAGGTGGTGAGTAAAGATTTTAATTACATGTAATTGAGGTTTTGCAGCTGAACCGCCGGGAAGGCCACATTACAACACATTTGAATATGGCCAGTTAAATTCCTATTGTTCAATTTTAACCCCTTTCCATGTGAGTAACCTGTATTGGGGTAGAAAGTTGCATCAGGAATAAGATCTTATAGAGTGAGGTAGATTTTTGAGGAGGGTTCAGTTTAATTATAGATACAGGGGATGGTCAAAGGAATGAATTAAAGATACTGGCAGTTGTAAGTAATGTCTTGTTGCACCTGAGTGTCTAATTTATCTACTATTCTTCAGTTACTTTTGCAGTTAAAATCAATGCTATATCAATGACAGAAATTGAGTAAAGTACCTGCAAAATGAACACTCCTGATGTGGCATCAAACTTTGCTCGCATCTGATAATCAATTTGCCTGCTTGCAAAAGGTGTGGACTGCTGCTACGAGGTGTATCATCCATCTGAACTGCATTCACCGTAGTTTGTTTCCCAAGTCAATGTTGACTCCTCTTTTCTTTTGTAATCAATGAACCAGTCTGGGATATCCCATGGATTTTTGAAGAGTTGTCTATGGGTATGTGCCATGGCTTCATATTTGCAATTTGAGCTAATACTTGTCTTTCCTTGTCTTCTTATTATTTGTTGGTAGTAATGAGTTCCCTGAATTTTACCTCTGTTAATTTACCAGTTGCACGCTAGATTGTTGTAGGCATTGCGTTTTGTAGTTCCTTCTAGCTAACAAATACCGTTTGAAACGTTTATCAAATGGATTCCACATAATCAACTGTATTGGTACCCCTTCTCTTAATGCTTCTCAACACTCAAAATCTATGGGAATAAGCTTATTTCGATTGATTGGAAAATGTAATCCATTAAAAAGGATTTGATTACTTTACATTGTCATAAAAAACCCGCTCATTAGAAAACTGCATTGCCTATCTATTTGTTTGTCATAATCTGAAATTGCATTTGTTTTGACCACAACATGTAGCGTCAAAGGTGCCAAACACAGTAATCATGGTAACACATTCATCTCTAAATTTTCCATTTTCTTTTTGAGATTTGTATTAGAGGACACTTTGTTACATTCACATTTGACTGCGTTTCCTTGCTTGTAACTTGCAATTTCTCTCTCAATCTATAATAATATCATTGGGCCATTACACTCGTCCATAACACCTCTGTTTTAGGGCTCATCCCAAAGTAACTTTTTGGCAAATTTAATGGCCAAAATACAAGGTCATAATTGAATATCAATCCCTTGGATACAGCATTAATCCCGATCCACGAAGCTACCATGCTATCTTGTTTTAGCTCATCCCAAAGTATTTTTGCAATTTTGCAAAATACAAAGGCATCTGATATCTCCTTGGATACAGCATTAATGATCCACGAAGCTACCATGCTATCTGCTTGTAACCACCTCTCATATTCCTCTGACTGTGAATCAGGTTGAGCTATGGTTCCATTAATAAACCTAGCTTGTTCTTCGCCCTGAGAGCTACCATTACACGTCTGCTCCATGAGAGATAATCCTCTGGTCCTTTTAATGAAGAATTCACCAACCGAAATCCAGGAGATTCTGAGTTATTCACATTAAAGGATCATTATCATGATTTTTGCTAGTAACTGCAGCAATAAGCCTTGCCACATCTTCTAGAGTCATCATCTTGATGTTCAACCAGATCTAAAATAAATTTTACTCTTGAATTGCAGAAATCCAAGAAACAGATCAATTAACCTGCTTTGATACCATGAACAGGATTAAGCAAGCTTAAAAAAACAATGGACAATATCAGTACGGAAATGAATAAAGGAAAGAAGGAATGAAAATAGCAGAGATTTTTGATTCTCTGCTGCATCTGGAAACTGTAATTCTCACTGTTATCAAAATATCTATTTACAAGAGAGTATATATGATTTAGTGTACAAGTAACTAACTATGGGTTTGGCTAAGTATATTGGACTGTGATGATTATTAGACAATGGTGCTGTGATATTTAATATGTGTAGACTATGACTTAAATAATATCTCCTATAAGTGGTGGTGGAATTGGAAACTAATGAGACATTAGGGCCTTGGAGGGCAAAGGAGTCCTTGTTTCACTTTTTTTCTAAGTCTTCTACGGCAGCTAGACGCGTTCATGGTTGGTTTGATTTGGTTCTGTAACAGAGCAACATCGCTTGGAAATTATTAGACAAGACAGGGCTAAAGATATACTTCTTACATAAAATTAAAAGAAAAAAGGGGACTTTGATTCCTGGAAAAGCTACTTTTAACTCTCACTAAGAACTAGTATGAGAATTACGGCGCACACCCTTGAACTGAATGGTTTAGTAAGAAATTAATGTAAATGGGGTTATTCATTTAATAAATAAATTTATAATCTCAATTAGTAAAGGAAAAGAAAATAATTTAGAAAACAAAATCTTAAAATACGTATGTACTATTACTTCTATCTAATTTATTTAATTAAACAATTAGGCTGACTTTAACAATTATTCCAAGTCATTCTTTATAGTTTTAGAAGAGACCAGCACCATCATCTTTAACAATTATGCCACTCCAAATTATCTCCTTCGCTTTTGGTAAAAGCACGACAATTATTAGTCATGTTGTTCTCTATATTATCACTTGATAGAGAAACCAGAATCGTTGATATTTCCACAGATAATAAGCCTCCTTACCTTTTTAGCTCTTATGTGGCTGTCGTTCGTCTTTTTATTCATTTAATTAAACTCAATTTTATTGACATTTATTTCCAACAAAGAAAGTGTTTTGCTTTTCATTTAGCATTTCTCTACATGCTTTCTGTTCTTTTACATATACATAATATATACTTATATATATAAATTCAAGCAGAGATGATTGTGATAAATAAATTCAAGTTAGATAATAGGGGATATTATTTGTTTATATCTGTAGATTGACTCATCTATATACCAATACAATAAATAAGTGTTTAAAAAAATTTTGACTTAACTTAGTGGGAAGTGTATATACTATCTAGTAATAGATTCAGGTTCGAATTCCCTCCTAATACTAAATAAAAATAAAATATGATTCTTTTGTCTCTTTTTTTTTTTTTTTTTTTTTTTTTTTGGGAAGTGGTATATACTATCAGTAATAAGATTTCACATGGTTCGAATTTCCCTGGCTAATACTGGTAAATATTTAAAGAAATAAAATATGATTCGGGTATTTGTCTCTTTTTATTTTTTTTTTGGTTATTTTTTTTTGTGTCTACTAGAAGTTCTTCCTGCCCTTAATAATTCAAAGTTATTTTTTTTTTTTTTTTTTTTTTTTTTTGTGTCTACTATATTCTCCTGCCCTTATAATTAATTATTATTGCATAACGTTAACAAAATGTATTCATTTAAATCTTGCCACATTAATTATATAGACAATCTCTGCAGTTATATTCATTAATACGTTTTTACAAAATAAAAAAAAAAAAACTCCAGTGTTATGCATTGTAACCACAATGGTGACTTCCCTAAGAATTTTCATTCTTTTTCTTTTGGAGGCCAAATTCAAAATGTCGGTGTTAAGATTACAATATCCTAAAGTGGTTTTTAATTATACATGTGAAATATTATAAATTTAAACTCAGTTTCAAAACCGGATGGAAGTATTCTTTTGAAAGTACAATTTTTCATCTAACAAAATGTTAGAAGTCTTTATATCTCGATGTATTATGGTATGTGAATCGCCAGCATGAAGATAATGAAGTATGCGTGCTACTGCAATGCAAATCTCTAGCCTTTGTTTCCATGGGAGTGGAGGATTATGACTTTGATAAAGATGATCACGCAGAGTTCCGTGGGCCATGTACTCGTAAACGAGGACCATGAGACGTTGATCATTGCAGTAACCTATCAGAGATACGAGATGAGGATGACGGAGCTTCGAAAGCGTCTCAATCTCTGCCCAGAACTGATCAGATCCTTGGCTTGAGTTAGGTTTAAGAGCTTTAATAGCTAATGGTGTGGTTTTTTCACTGTCCAAGTAACCTTTGAATACTCTACCAAATTCTCCATCTCCGATTAGAAGATCTCTGTCGAAGTTGGTGGTGGCGTTTCTTATCTCTTTAGCTGTAAAATGGCGGCAAATGCCTTCCGGCATGGGAATCATGTGCTCTTCACTGCTTCTTTTCCTTTTGCAATAAAAGAAAACTGTGAACCAGATAAGAAATAATAAAACGATTGTACCTAGGGCAGCTCCAGTAAGGGCAAGTATCTCTGCATTCATTTTCATGGAATTTCTTGGCTTGCTTGTCTGGTTAAGAGCAGAAACTGTAAATTTAATAAGGATGGCCAAGTGAGTGGTGGAATTGGAAAATGGAGAAACTAATAAGACGTTAGGGCGTTGCAGTCCTTGTTTCACTTTTTTAATTATGATGGAAATTCTCACCAAATTAAATATGAATTAGAGAATAATTAATTTTAACAACTAAAAAAAAATACTAAATTATCTTTCTTTTTTTTTTTTTTTTCTAAAATATATAATTTTTCAAGGTGGAGCAATCCTCACTGAACCCTTAAGTTTTTGTTCAAGGTGGAGCCCAGGCTCATGACTTTGGGCTGCAAAGCCTGGCCCATCATATCACCCTTAATTTACTTTTTTTTTTTTTTGAAATATTTAATCTACTTTCCTGATTACAACCATAATTCATTTATTTAAACAATTAATAAGCTTGACCTTAAACAATTATTCCAAGTCATTCTTTATAGTTTTAGAATGAGACCAGCACCACCATTTTCAGGTATCCACACATAGCATTACAACGTTGATTTATAATCGACGTGTTTTCTGCGCTTAATATGTCTTTTCTTTTCTTTTATCTTATGCATGATCCACATGAGGCTGCTTTATTTGCATTGCTACTGAGACCAGTCCTAACCTAAACATTTCAGGTTCTCAACATAGCATTAACACGTTGGATTAATAATCGACGTGTCTGCGCTTAATATGTCTTTTTCTTTATCTTTATCTTTCATGACCACATGAAGGGCTGCTTTATTTGCATTGCTACTCCAATTTTTTTTTTTTTTTTTTTTTGGTTTTTCTTAGAAAAAAAAAATCTAATGATCTCCTCCACTCTTGATTAAAGCGCGATAATTTTTTTAGATTCATATGAATAATGATTGCTACTTTACAATAAGGAATGAGACGTTCGATGAGAAGCCTACACTACCCAACTTTGGTATTATGATTATTTTCTTAACAATTCCTACTATTTCAAAAACACATTAATCATTCTAGACAAATTAAGACAGAAACATTAACCAAACAACATAGACACACTTCCCAATTACAAAAATCACAAGACAGAAAACCAATATTTCTAGTTTCTTCAAGAGTTGATAGTATCAGAGAAGACATGGCTAGACGTTAAGCTACCAGACAACGTACTGGGAAAAGTCTATCCAGTAGTAATATCTGTATCAGTATCAAGATCCATTAACCCACTTGCATTACTTGAAGCCAACTCGGACCCACCAAATATATTTGCATATCGAGAAGCTAGACGTTAAGCTACCAGACAACGTACTGGGAAAAGTCTATCCAGTAGTAATATCTGTATCAGTATCAAGATCCATTAACCCACTTGCATTACTTGAAGCCAACTCGGACCCACCAAATATATTTGCATATCGAGAAGGATGAAATGATACTTTAGGATATAAACATTCACCTCCGGGATTCACTTTTTCTTTCGCAGAATCTGCAGCTTGCTGCAACTCCAATGCGAACTGAAGCCTCTCCATTACATCATGCATAGAAGGTCTATCAATACCCTGATCACGCACACAGCTCTCTGCAATCTCTACAAATTTATTAAAACACTCTGGAGATATTTTTCCTACTAATTCAGGATCAATTATTTGATGAATATTCCCATTTTGGATGCATTTTCGCGCCCAATTGACTAAATTCACCTCATCTTCATCCAAATTGCGGTTGACTGCTTTCCGAGCACATAGCACTTCAAACAATACAACACCAAATGAGTACACATCAGATTTTTCTGTTAATTGATGGCGTCGAGCATATTCAGGATCCAAATATCCCCATGTACCCTTTACTACAGTACTAATTGCAGAATTGTTTATACCAATTTTTGACAATCCAAAATCTGAGAGTTTAGCAACCCAATTTTCATCTAACAAAATGTTGGTAGTCTTTATATCTCGATGAATTATAGTGTGTGAAGCACCAGCATGAAGGTAATGAAATCCCCGCGCAGCTCCAATGCATATCTCAAGCCTTTGCTTCCACTCAAGTGGTTTCTTGTTATTTTCATAGAGATGGTCTCGAAGAGTACCATTTATCATATAATCATAAACTAGTATCATTTCACCTCCATCTATACAATATCCTATTAAAGAGACAAGATTGACATGGCGGAGTTGGGAGAGCATTTCTATCTCTGTCTTGAATTCGCGAGCACCCTGTCGAGACTCTCGATTCAAGCGCTTGATTGCAAGGGTCGTAGCTCCATTATCAAAATTAGCTCTATAAACATTTCCAAATCCACCTGAACCAATTATCAAACTCTCATCAAAACCATTTGTTGCTTCTTTAATCTCTTTTAGTGAAAAATGGCGGCATAGTTCTTGCGGTAGAGAGGAAGAAGCTGTTGTCCTTGATGATTTACCTTTGTAAGATTTCAACCGCAAACAATAGCTTAATGATTTATAATAAGCACCATGATGATGCTTTCTCTTCCTCAGTTGCCAAGCAACTAAACAACCCAACAAAGAAATTATTATCAAACCACCACCAAATGCAAGGAACAGTACCTTTTTAGTATTGGACTTGCTGAGTTATCAAGAACCACCACCAATGCAAGGAACATACCGTTTTTAGTATTGGACTTGCCTGTTGTTGTGATGGTGGTGGCTGCGGGCGCTTTGTAGTTGTTTGGACGAGACAGACACAACAGGATTAGGGTTCCCGGCAAGATTTGACCGTTAAGAATCATTCAACTTGAAAACTTCAAGCCCATCAAGAAAAAGAATCCACCTAACATAACTAGAAAAATTCGGCCTTAAAGTATTAAAATGATATAATCATGCTCAAATATAATCATCTGCAACCTCTCCTTTCTCCTTCCCAGTTGCGAATATATAGTCATTATATATAGGAGTCAACACACCACCGCTTGATTCAATAACATCAAAACCCAGATTCGCCGTCTGATTGTCGAAATAGACATTGAATCGTCTCATGTTAATTTCAACATCTTCATGAAATTCACAAAAATGAAGCCTTACAAGGTACTTGAATCCTCGATCAACTGGTAAAATCCAAGTCAAATGAGTATCAATGATTCTCATTTGCCGAGCTGTCAAGTAAACATCATCGGGTGCTATATAAGCTGGAATTCTTGAATAATTAAGAGAAAGACCCGAACCATCAGCGACAAGGGCTCCGACATTTGAGAACATGTTATCAACATCCCATAATCTATACATGCCAGTATCACTCGTAGACGGAACGGTGGTTGCTCCAACATTTAATCTATAAATATTTTCTAATGCAGTGCCATTACCCACATAAAACTGTTCTCTTTCGCCGATGAATTTAAGACCTTTAATCTCTGGTGGCGTATGGTAAAGATTAGCAGGCATGGATAAAATCTCAATTCCATTAATAAAAGCATAGGAATTGAAAGATGGAGAAAAAGTTAAATTCAGTTGTTGATTCTCTGCAACATTTAAGCAGAATTCTTTAAAGAAAGTCTCTTGCCGGTTAGAAGAATAAAGAGAGGCACTGAAGTTCTTGAGTAAAGTGAAAGGTCCTGTTTTGACGTCAAAGAAGTCCTTAGACTTGTTAAATCCGCCTTGATAATTAGATGGGTAGAAGAAGAGGCGGATAAATTTTTGACCAGCAGTAACAGGGAATGTATAAGTGAATTGGGTTTGAGAGATGCGAGCTGTCATGTAAGGAACAGACGCGACAGAGCTGCCTTGCCTAAGAGCGATGGCGGATACTGATTTGGTTGAATTAGAATGATCTACAGGGCCAAATTTGGAGTTTAAATCACCAGTCCATTTGCTGCCATCAGGTGCGGTTGTTTGGCCTGAAAAGCCACAATTGGAAAGGATTATGTCAGTTGGAGTGTAAGGAGGTTTAGAAATGGCGATTTTGATGTGTTGCAGTAAAAGAATGAAGAGAAAGGAGGAGATAGGTTTGAGAAATGAGTGGATATCCATGGACATGCGCGAACAATCAAACAGCAAATAGCTAGTCCTGAAGATTGGATTAGATTGATGAACTCGTGAATTTGAACTACTGATAATACTGCTCAATTCATCATCTTCAAACTGCAAAGGTATCTATTAAAAGCTAGTAGATTGGCCCCATACCCAGGTATTCCAGTCAATTTCCAATTAGTGTGATCGCAAAACCAATTTAAGTTCAAAAGTGGACTTCGGCAGACCTCTATTCATTGTTGATATTGTAAAATGTGAAAGCAAATATAAAGTATATTTGTGTGGTTATTTTTTATAGTTAAAATAGCGTTAGAATAGCTGTAACTCTAACAGATATTTATTAGTAGCGATAGAATAGTAATAACTCTAACAGATACACACTTGTATATATTCTTACTCTAATATGCAGAGTAGATATTACCGAATAATAATATTCTGAGGAGGCTATCATTCATCAGCTCCTCTTTCAATTTTGTATATTTCTATTTTATGAAATTCCTTTTTTGTTGGCTGCTTTGATCCTTTTCATGGTATCAGAGCTAGGGATAATAGATTGATTTGATCCCTGTATTCAATTTCTTGTGGGTTAATCAGAGCTAGGATAAATAGAGTTGATTGATCCTGGTATTCAATTTCTATGTAATGCTCCTTGTCGAATTGTTTTTTAGAAGAGTGATGTCCCCAGAACGATCCTGGCGAAAATTACGGCCGCCGTCAACGCCAAAATGTAACGAGACCGAATCCGTAAATCAACTCATAGTTCGGGCTGCCGCGGAATTTAGTCTTGTGAGTGTCCTTTGAAAGGGCCTAATACCTTCCATTGAGCCAGAGCATACAATAGCAAGAGCAGAGCAGTACAAATAGCACTGAGAGCCAAGAAAAAGTTAGGGTTCGTAAATGGGAAAATAAAAGCCCCAGAACCAGATTCTGATGATTATGAGAAGTGGTTGACAGCGGACAGTATGGTAGTGTCGTGGTTGCTTAATGCTATGTCAAAAGAAATATCCGATGCTTTCATTTTTTGCAAAAACGCAAAAGCCCTCTGGGATGAGCTGAAACAGCGATATGGCGAAAGCAATGGGCCTATGGTTTATCAGATTGAAAGAGAAATTACAGGTTACAAACAGGGAGATGATTCTGTGACTGGGTATTATACAAAACTTAAGAAGAAGTGGGATGAGCTATTGTGTCTAGCTCCTTTACCAGTATGCTGTGAGAGGGGAACTACAATTACAGATTATGACAATAATAGAAGGCTTATGCAGTTCTTGATGGGTTTAGGCGATGAGTACGATAATGTGAAGAACCAGGTGTTATTGCAGGACCCTTTACCTTCGATCAACAAGGCTTACTCTATGGTTATGAGCGTAGAAAAGCAGAGAGAAGTGCAAACCAGTAGTGTTACATCTGCTGAAACTGCTGTTGCTATGATGGCTCGAAGGGGAAGCAACAACTATTCAGACAATGCCAGCAGCTCTAGAAACAATAACAGGAGCACTTGTTATACCAAGAAAGAGGATAGAAAAAAGAGGTATTGCACCAAGTGTAAAATGGGTGGGCATACTATAGAAGATTGTTTTCAAATTCATGGTATCCTGGTTGGTTCATCGAGTTACAAAAGAAGAAGGGGGTAGATGTGAGAAAATATTACAGTGCAAATAATGTTGCACAGATTGCAGTTACAGACTCTCCACGCAACAACATGTTCAAACGCAGAGGGTAAGATGCTCAGGTACAAAGGGGTACTCAGATTATCATCTAGCTAGGAGTTCAAAAGTTCTTCAAGCTAAAGCGAGGTTTCCACTGAACTGATGATGAAGGGCGCATTAGAACGGGTGAATTTTCGCAGTAACGTTACTCAAATTCTGTTATAACTGGTATTGATAATGCAAGGATAATTGGATATTGATTCTGGTGCTCACTGACCATATCAACACCCAAATTATCCTCCTTGATCAATTATTCAGTTAAATCCACCCAAAACAATTGCGTTACCTAATAACGTCCGACAGAAAAAGTCACACTAGCATAGGAACATGAAAATGAATGACGATTAATTTTGGTAACATGTTTCTATATGTTCCTTCATTAGCTACAAATCATTTATATATAAGCTGCCACACCGATTCTCATTGTCAAAACTCATTCCTAGAACATGTGTTTTTCAGATTACTGACTTAAAGGAGGTTGGGGTAGAAGAAGAGTATTGAGCTCTTATTTGTCTAGAGATTCTTTTAATAAGCAAATAAGTTGTTTTTCTGTCACTGGTTGTGGTGAACATGATAGACATTTAGCTATGCTTTAGCATGCTAGATTAGGGCATGTTGCTCATAAGAGATTGAAGCATGTTGATGGTATTTCAAAATGTGATTATGCTGATTTGATTTGTTCTGTTTGTCCCATTGCCAAACAAACCAGAATTCCTTTTTCACCTAGCCGAATTTCAACTACGGAAGTGTTTAATCTTATTCATGTTGATTTATGGGGTCCTTATCATTTGAAATCTATCACAAATGTTGTTTATATGTTGACTATAGTTGATGATTTTAGTCGGTTTTGTTGGACTTCCATGTTGAAAAGTAAAGATCAAGTATTCTCTGCCCTGAAATTTTTTTTTCATTATGTATTCACTCATTACACCAAGAAGATTAAAGTTATTCGAACAGATAATGGTACTAAGTTTCTCAATAATACTTGTAGCTCTTTCTTTCAAGAAAATGGGACATTACATCAATGATCTTGTGTTTACACTCCGCAGCAGAATGGAGTTGTCGAACGGAAACATCGGTCATTGTTAAACATAGGCCGAGCCTTATTATATCAATCCAAACTTCCACCCAAGTTCTGGTCTGAGTTCGCCAAACTTCCATCCCAAGTTCTGGTCTGAGTCAAGTTCTGGTCTGAGTTGTTGTTGACTGCCACCCATATTACCAACAGATTACCCTCTGAAAACTTGAATTGGCAAACACCTTATGAGCGACTACATGGGCAGCAAGTGGATTACAGTTACTTCCGTACTATAGGCTATCTGTGTTTCGCTACAAATACCTTACCTCATAAACTGAAATTCGATCCAAGGGCATCTCCATGTGTTTTAATTGGTTATGCTCAACAGCAAAAAGCATATTGATTATACAACTTGATTATAAAGACTATAATCAATTCACGGGATGTTGTTTTTGCAGAGTCAGTGTTTCCCTTTCATCATACAAAACCCGAAACTGTCACTGATTTTTGTTTGCCTACATGTATTTCCGATGCAGACCTTGATGTTTTATCGTATCCTATACCTTCCACTGAGACAGATTTTGTGTCGCAACTAGACCAACAGTATGTACCCGAAGGAGATAGTGTACCTCAACTAGACCAATTGAATATACCCGATTCTGCTTCTTTTGAATCAGTTGAACATGTCACAGCAGAATTCACAGCAGAAATCGTCCCCTTTTTCAACACTGCCGCAACCGAAGAAGTACTAGACAACGAAAACCCCAGCTTGGCTTTCTGATTTTTGTCACTAATCCACAAACCAGTCCCACTACACTTTAATCTTCTCATTATCCTTTGTTTTGTTCAAATAATCCAAATTATATCCAAAGTTATTGAACCTTGCACTTATAATCAAGCTAAAAATAACAATAGTTGGGTAATTGCCATGAATAAAGAATTGACTGCCTTAGAACAAAACAATACATGGGTGCTTACTGATTTGCCTTCTAATGTTACTCCTATTGGTTGTAAGTGGATATGTAGGGTTAAATATAATGCTGATGGCAGTATCGAAAGGTACAAAGCTCGGCTTGTTGCTAAAGGGTACAATCAGCTTCTTGGCTTGGATTACAACCAGACATTTTCACCTATTGCGAAACTTGTTATAGTTCGAGTGTTTTTAACTATTGCAACTGCATTTACTTGGCCAGTGCATCAGCTTGACATCAATAATGCGTACTTACATGGTTCTATAGATGAAGACATTTATATGCAGGTACCTCCAGGGTATGAGAAAGCCAAACCAGGGCAAGTTTGCAAATTGCAACGGCCTCTATATGGGTTGAAGCAAGCTGGCAGACAATGGAACAAGGAATTAACTGCAAGTTTAATAGCTGAAGGTTTTTGCCAATCCTCTTTTGATCATTGTTTGTTCACTCGAGGTAACGGTAATACATTCATTGCTGTCTTGGTTTATGTCGATGATTGCCTGATTTCTAGTCCCTCAGTTGCTTTGATTGATGAATTAAAGGCTTATGTGCATGGGACATTTACTATTAAAGATCTTGGACATGCCAAGTATTTTTTGGGCATCGAAATAGCTCGGTCAACGGACGAAATGTTGTTAACTCAGCATAAGTTTATAACAGATATTGTTACAAACACAAGTTTACAAGATTCCAAACCAACGTCTAGTCCTTACATTCAAGGACTCAAACTCAGTTCCGACATGAGCAGACCTTTGCAAGACCCAGAACGTTACAGACGTTTAATCGGCAGACTATTATATTTGTCACTCATTAGACCTGATATTAGTTATGTTGTTCAACAACTAAGTCAGTTTATGCAATCTCCTCACCATCAGCATTTCCAGGCAGCATTGACAGTGGTGAAGTATTTACATGGTACTATTTAAAGGGGTTGTTTCTTCCAGCTTCAAATGATCTAAAGCTTCGAGCTTTCTCAGATGCCGACTGGGCCTTTTGTGCGGATACTAGGAGACCTGTTACCGGGTGTTGTATCTTTTTGGGTACTTCCTTAGTGTCATGGAAGTCGAAGAAACAAACGACTGTAAGTCGATCTTTCGTCGAATCTGAGTATAGAGCTATGGCTTCAACTGTTTGTGAAGTTCGGTGGCTGTCTTCTTTACTTACTGATTTTCACATTACTGTTCCTACTCCAATTCCGTTACATTATGACAATAAAGCAGCAATTCATATTGCAGCTAATCCCGTTTTTCATGAGCGAACAAAACACATCGACATTGATTGTCATGTGGTTCAGGCACAGTTACAAAATGGATTCATTAGTACTCATTAGTACCTCCTTATTTTGCCCAGCCTTCCATGCAACTAGCGACATGTTCACAAAAACCTTTGTTCTACTCAGCTATTTCGAATTATGGTGTTGCAAGCTTGGAATTGGTTTGATTTCTCACCAACTCCAGGCTTGAGCGGGGAGGGTATAAAGTATATTTGTTGTGGTTTTATCTTTTTATCAGTCAAAAATAGCGTTAGATAGATATAACT